GGACGAACAAGTCGTGTGCCTGATGGTAAGCTACACGCCTGCCCATATATTAGCCCTACCTTCATCTGTTGCACCAAGACAGCTTTCGTTGTTTCCATGAAGATGCCAATCAGGGTGTCCAGATGTTTTAATACAACATACCACTGCGTATTACTCTCATTGAGTTCAAGTTTCACATCTTCGCCTATATCGATAAGTTTCTGTAGATATAACTGAAGAGACTTCTTGATCTTGTCCCATCGTTCAGGAGTTTCACCAGGAGGTTTGGTGTTGAGCGTTATGCTATGAGCTAGGACGAATTCGTTGATATTTGCTACTAATAGACAGATTTGTTCTTCGTTTGACGTGTTGCACTCGATTTGCCTGCGGAAAAAAAATACAAATTTTGTTCATCTTAAAACTCGTAAGCTGAATTACATGCTAAAGGATTAAAGATTGCATAGTGACATTAGCAAACAATTAGCGCTACATATTTGCATATGTAGCGGTATTTGTTTGTTTACTGAAGAATTTGCGGTTGTTTATATGCAAACGGCATACCACTACATATCCAATTCCAATCTCTCGCTAATATTACTATAGTTCTTTTAATTGCGAAAGGTCGTAAATAATTACATTAGGTTTATACTTTATCTTTTGTGATACTAACTCTGGAAATTAAACCCAGATAGGCGGTGTCATTAAGGATTTCTTACCAGTTTTCACATAAGTGATTTTTAATTTTGTGTTTCTAGTACATTTCAAGCAAATGCTAAGTGTATTTACATGGGAGGCTGGTTTAGTAGTATCCGAGTTATAGTCATTGCTAACAGCCGTGTTAAGTCCGATCTCTCGCGTGGTTCGTGTTCTATAGTCATTTTGCAATGTAACAAACCTTAACAAAACTATTAAAACATTCTTTCTTTTTATTTTTACGAACGTTTTGTAATATCTTATGTGGGACATTACCCAAAAATGTTTATGTTACGTACACACTTATTTGATTGCTATTCTACGCTTTTAAGTTCTTAGTTACCTACTTTCAATCTATCCGACAAGAATTTCCGAATAGTTAGATTGAGTTGTTCAGCTCTGGAGGTAAAATGAATGATACAATTTTTGTATTACTTACTTAATAACATCACTATATTGATGCACGATAATCTGTCCATGAGTTTGAACCTTCTTAATGTTCCCAGTGATTGTGGCAGAGCTGGCAGATACCGTTGCCTTCATCTCGGTCCCCAAGGGCTTGCTCTGTAGGGTTGTCATACATTCGTTCTCACAGGAACCAATGAGGTCGCAAAGCCAGTATTGTACTGGCTCAGGTTTTCTCTCGCAGAGTCTTTCTAATGTAGTCTGATCGATACTACGTTCCCGGTATAGAATCTCGTCTTTGTTGTTCAGAACCAATCTGTGGAAAATATTGGTAGTTAAAATAATCCACGTATTTATAATCCTTTATATGAGTCAGTATGCAAAAGTAGAATCTTCAACTTGGGGTTTAGTTAAGTATCATATCTCTATAAATTCCTCAAGAGATTAGATTCCCTGAAAATAAACGTATCTCCACGTTTATCTTCAGGGAAGATAAGTCTAGTAAATAAATAATAATAAAACGGCTCTTTTTTACAATTTAGTTTTAGTTACGAAGCATTAACATTCGAATACACTGTACTCTACTGTTATGGCCTCCTCAATTTAAATCCGGCGATTGAACACGAGTTCAAGTATTGTAAGTAAGATTGCAAACTTGTTTAACGTTAACGTAAACAAATGTCAACAACTTACCCGCTGCTAAAGTTGTCCAGTAAATTTGCTCTAAGCGAAGTTTTCCTATTGCTCTTTGGTCCGTTCATATATTCGTGAGGCGCTAGCATTTTTGGCGTCGAAGTACATGCTAAGTTTAGTTGAACATCATCGAAATTCAATTCATATATTATCTCTTTTAACTTCTCTCGTTTCGAATCATGTGTTAAGTTTCCATCGGTCTTAGAATCTGCTTCGTAGGGCGTCTGCTTATCTTGGAATTCTGGAGGTGGTGTTAAATTTCTGTTCTTAAGATATAAGTCCTCGTCCGCCACATCTTTTGCTTTTAAATTAATGTCACTATCTGTAGCGACAAGTCTTTCGTTGTAACTTGGTATTAGCCTTTCTTGTTCTGGATAACCAACAATTACCCAAGAATTTTGCTCCTGAGCTCTCGGCAAATCAAGAGTCGGTTCTTTGCTACCATTGAGAATTCCCCCAGCATATGTCTGAACAACTTGTGGTTTCTCTCTTTTCCCAGAAAATAATCTGAACAGTTCTTTCTTGTCTACTTTTTTCTCATTTAATCTCTGTTTTGCCTTTAGACCAGATTTCTTGCCAGCTGGTTTCAAATGCAAACTATCGGTGATATTCTTCCCTAATATGGCTTTTGTTGGTTTGTGAAATTCCCCATTTTCTATTTCAGTGTCTTCTGCGACTTCGCCTTCGTCTATGTGGCCTAATGAACGGTAACCGTCATGAATATCTAAAATTTGTTGATCTAATCTCTGTGCTTCAAAATTCAATGATTTATTTAATCTATTTCTTTGGAATTGAGGAGTTGCGTCGATGGGAATATTTTCTTCATATGACATACTTTTCCTGTAGTCTTTCGGTGAAATTCTTTCAGTCGGTACGTAAGAAATATTTGAAATGGGTGTTCGAACTCGAGGCTGATTTTTTACTGCAATTTCATTATTATCAGCCAGTTTTATATATTCCAAGTTTTCATCCGCTTTGTTTTTGCTGGTTTCCAAATCTTTTACTTTCGCTACCTTACTAATTTTGGTTATGCTTTCCGTGCTCGAGACAAATGATTTCTTAACAGGATACTTTTTAGATGGACTTATCACATTTAAATTCTTATCTGATATTTCTTTGGTATCTTTCTGTATTGCACTTCTATTTGGAGTATTCTCTTTATTACTAATATTAGTTGGGGGAGATATATTTATTTCCACTTTAGTACCTGACATTATATTAGGCACAGGATTAGAAATAACAGGTTTCGGTGGTAAATTCTTATTACTTTTGTCTTTGATAGATTTTTCGGTGATTATTTTCGTGGGTGCTGGGTATTTCGGTTCAGGTTTACTGATTTCTTCTGGTTCTTTGTCCTTCAATAATTGTATGTGTTCTTCATCGTGATGAATTTCGTAGTATTTTTGCAAATCATAAGGAGTCTGTATTACACTACTACTTCGAAGTCGGGGTTTCGGAGTTGGAGCTCCGCTACTAACATTGTCTTTTGCTTTTGGACTGTCAACAACATCTTTGCTCGGTGTGGTTTGGAAGTTTTCAGCGAGTTTAACAGTAACATTTTCGTTGTTATTGGAATCGCTGCTACTGGACGACTTATTTTTATTCGAGTCACTGCTATCCGGTGAAGCGTAATACTGCGAAGGAGGTGGTGAACTGTCTGAATCCGAGAATCCAGAATCTTGGCTTTTGTGGCTACCTGGGCTGCCATGTCTTAAAGGCCATTGATTGATCTGAACGTTGTTGGGTTGAGCAATATTTTCTTCACTGCTATTCTTCATTTCTTCATGCTGGTTGGCGATCCAATGAGGTAATTGTGGTTCCCAATCGGGTTCGTCTTTTGGCCGATTTTGGGGAATTGGGCTGCCAATAGTCGGCGGTGAATCACCCCACCAAACCTTGCTCCGTGTTCGTTGAAAGTTTGACATCCTGAAACAAAGAGTTGAGAGGTAAATGACTCGTGGGAAGGTGGCGGGTGTAATGATCGGTTCAAATGACGTAATTTCTTGGTCCATTATAACACTAAAGTTTGGAACGTGCAGCGATGCGTGACGCTTGTTCTATCGCCGAGGGCACATTGTCTATTTGTCCAGTTTTTGTTGTTAAATAATTATGGGAATTTACGACGTTTGTGTGCCCATGATGATTCTAAGCAAAAAGATCTTTTTAAAATGGAATCTGTGTCCTTGACAGTAATAATAATGGTATAATTTTACCGACAGGCAGATGTTAAAATCCGTTGCAGATCTTTTGTGTTGCACTGGAGTGCAAGCCATTCATACCGTGGCTGTGATTTTGACTCCCCTCGCCTTTAGAAAATAGAAACCGGTTGAAAGGTCAAACTCGGCGCAAACCATACTTAACATTTCTTTTACCCTACAATTAATAGACTTTATCAAGTAAAAGTAATATCCACAGCTCGCGTCTATTCACTATATATAAAATTAAATAAACAAGTAATATCTAGCACGTATTGAAAATGATAAACAATTCGCATTTTTTGTTTTTTTGCGGCATTAATAGAATCGTTCACAAATCCATTAATAAATTTTTACACTCATCTTTATACAATAAGAGCCTATTTGTTCACGGTCTAATTGTGTTTTCATTGCACATATTACATTTTGTTCATAGAAACTGTTTAAAAAATAGAATCCTAAAATTACAATTGTTATTGGCTTAATATTTGAACTACATATGCTATGACCACGCTATGACCGAAGGAAACTAATATTACGATTATGCAAGCTTTTCTTAGGTAGAACGGTCATTGTTTGATAATTGGTTTAAATTTGTTGTTAATAGTTTCTTTTATTTGCGGAAAGGTTGTCATTAATCAAAGTTAATAGTAGACGCGGCGGACCATTATCGTAATTTCGATTTTCATTCAAATAATGAATTAGAACACAAAACTGGGATTTGCAGGAGAATTCGTAAAAAAAATTATGACAAAATAATAAAACCGACTTCAAAAGTTCGTGGAATTCTTGAAAAATCTATGTGCGAAGTTTTATTGAAATCGATTACCGGAATGTGCGCGAAACCGGATTGATCAATCCGGTTGCGCGCACATTCCCCTGGTAGTGGTTATTTTGCCACCCTTAGAGATGGAATATTTTCTCCAAAATGAAATGGGACCGGAGGTCCTTCTTTCCAACAAAAAAAAAAAAAAGAATCATCCAAATCGGTTCACAAAATAGCCGGAGTTACCAAGTAACAAACATAAAAAAAAATACAAGCGAATTGTGAACCTCCTCCTTTTTTTAAGTCGGTTAAAAAAAGGATTCTACATAGGACCTATACGCAAAACGGCCTAAGAACATCCCACCCCGTATCGTGACTGGCTCAAAAGTTCCCATTATATTGGCAGCATTGCCTCACTGGATGGCAACGGACACTTGCTGAACCAGACACGATCCAAAGTGGTGATCACAGTCCATCTCTTAGTCGCCGATCTAACACTTTAAATAAGTCCTAGGCTTGAAGCGCGAAGTACGAACGGATACGAAGACGAAATAAATTTTCGATCTAACTTCTATTGTAAGAGGGGCCTGTAAGCCTAAAGATTATATTGAAAGTAATAACATCAGCAAGGAATTTGTTATTTTTGCTAGTGTCATGTTTTTTTTAATGTTTTTTACCAGTTATTCTAAATTTAATAGTTCCTGAACTTGTGAATTTTTAATACCATGTAATTTTACTGGAAGCTTACAATTCACGATTCTCAATGTTCAGTTAGTTTGATTAGTTAATAGCCAAAACAGTGTTAAACTTTACACTCTAATATTATCAAATTTCTCTAAAGCTCTCCTAATAGGCCAGAATGTGTGTATTCCTTTTACAATCGTTTCAATCGTTGTCCACGATGGTACGTCATTCTATTAGCCCAGTAATACTAACATTATCTGTGGACTTCATAATGCCCTCACGAGTGCAGGTGTCCGAGTATAATAAGACTAACTGCTACAGCAAATGTATATTACAAAATAAAGATACCTATATCAGAATCACCAGCAATGCTAAATGAGTAGTCGGTCAATTATTACTTATGAGTCAATGTATCTGATTCATTCTCTAACATTTAAAGTAAATGAAGTGTGCGTTAGTCACTATCTTCGAAAGTTTACAGAACTTAGAGTTTAAGCAAGTGTTATGTAAATTGTGATAAACATGTGACTTAAATTTTCATAATCATAACAATTTTCACGCTAGATCCAGTAATGCCATCAACGACGCAACGTAATTATTTCTAGCAATAGAAAAACGAAAATTTTGACTTCAAATCAATAATGTGCCATATGTTTTATTCTATTAAATAAGGAATGCAAACAAAATGTGTACGTGTTAAGAAGTTACATAGGTACATGGTTAAGCTGTGAGAATAATATTTGTTTATAATATGCATTAGCATATGATGCTGACTCCCGGAGTAAGATAAAGCTAGGATCACGTTTCTCAACGGATGTAATCGCAAACCTGTGCAAGTTTGGGTGGTCATATAAGGTTTAAAATAAACACCAGGATGACTTGTGGTTTTAACATGCAGAGGCGGTAATGCAAATTACATTTTTCATTTATACCTCGTTGACCCAACGGTTTGCACTATGGTCGCTGGATGAGTAGGTTTCAATTTTCGGTAGAACCGATTTCGGAAGTTTTCTAAATTGATTCTGCTCTGGGTGTTCTGAGTAGTGTCCCGGATTGAATTCCGCTGCTCTGGTATTCATAGCACAGGGAATTTCCTACTTTGAGACCAGGTTGAAAAAGCAAAAAAAAAAACGAAAGTTACATTGTTCTAACGCACTTTATGTTCAAGTTTAGAAAGTAAAGGTTTAGGAAATAATAAAAAATATTTGTTTGTGTACAGTAAAAACGACAAAATAGTTATAATTATATATTTTAGAACAGAACACTTTAGCAAGTAAGTATACGAGAAAAATAACGGGTTTTTAGACTACCCAAATCGGGACGTCTCGGGCAAGCCGAGACACCTGGCAACACAGTGAATAACTTTATGCAAATGGAAGGAGGAAATATGCAAGTAATGTAGTTTTAGCCATTAACTACTTGTTTAAGACGTGCATTTGTTTTAACGTACATCCTTGTAGATTTCGAAAAAGTCGTGCGCCTGATGGTAAGCTACACGCCTGTCCTTATGGACTGAATTGTTATCAATTGCAGTGCCACTCGGAGCTTTAAATCGCAAAGATCTGAGGGGCACTGCCATTGCGCCCGACACCTTGAGACATAGTTGACAAGTCCCGTGTGCCTGTGATTTCACCAAAATATAAAGGTTATAATTTTAAATTGGTCTTGACGTTGCGTTAGAAACCGCAGAACAGACATTGCATTTTTTCTCTACCAATACATAACTTACTTGCTTTTCATCTAGTATTAATTTCAGACGAAATTTCCTGTTACTGAAATTTGATTTTTCATTTAATATTGGAAGTACGGTTGCCGCAGTCGCCATTTTCTTCGTCTTTTAATCTATGTATTTTTAATTTTAATTTATTTATAAATTATTTATATATATTTTTGTTGTGTATCGCAACCTAATTAAATAATTAAACATTTATTATTTATTTATACGCTCTGCTACCATGTTAAGATTATTTTAAGTTGAAACACCATATAGGACTGAAAATCGCTTAATCTGTATGCACCATTGAGAATTGAATACCTATTATTGGTTGCCATAGTAATGCCGGGAATAGTGCTGAGGCTCTAGAGATGCGCTCAACAGTCATAACTAACGCATTTACATTTTGGTAACTTTCGAGATATGCCAATATCTTAGCTTTTTCTTTAAAAAATGTCAATTACACTGATTTCGTTTACCAATAAAAATGAAACTAAGATATTTAAAAAAACCGCTTATAGGGGGTTGTATATCTTGTTTAGCTGATTTTAGATAAGTTAAAAATATCGATTAAAATGATTAGGAGGGCAGCGTTGCTGTAAATACCTCCATAAAAGGCGTTACTTGTAGGTTAAAGGTAAATATCCAACTGAAGACGCAGTGAACGACCTTATAGTTTGCGTACCACTTATTACCCAATTTTGAGCACACCCGTCACTTTTCAATTACCCTAATTAGCAGTACGGCACCACGGCTCGTCTGGGATGTTCATCGCATCGCTGTCGTCCTGATTGAGTAACGTTTAACGGCTTGTAATGACTCTTAACTACTGTTAATTGCGTACGTTTAGAATGATCGTGTCGACATTCGTGTCGGTGCCGTGGTAGGGGGTGTGTAGGGTGTCAAGGTGTGTGAATGTCGTTGTAGGTGCATTTCATGTCTTTAGGTGTCTTAGATAGCGTCAAAGGATGAGCAGCGCAGCGGGTGTGTAATGAAAGATATAACAACAAATAATCTATTTTCATATGGTATAACAACATTTGATATAATTTGTAAGGAATGCATAATACAATAACATTGTATATAAACCTTCAGTATAACAAACATTAGACATAATGGTATAAGTATTACCAGTATAATGTATTAAATAATATAACACATTTTTTCTTTGCATATCAAAAAATAATACACATCAAGTCATGTCCATCAATAACAACATTTTCATACCAAAACTAGGATTTGTCATCGAAACATCTACTGATTTAGCGTCGAAATTTAGTATTGGCGCTCCGCTGGCCGCTGCCGCGGCACGCGCGTTTCGCTCGCTCGGGTCGCGCACCATTATGGTCGCAGTTCTAACCTAACCTAGAGGAAGTATCAGTTCTATAAAATTATTTTTATGTGTTTTCGAGCCTCGCACTCCTCCCTGTGCTCGTCATTGCAGCTAAAAAAACCGGAATTATATTTATAATACATTATACTCAGTGAATGCTATATCTGAAATATTTATATAAAGTGTTCACTATGCCATCGGTATATTACATTGAAAGTTGTTATATCAATCGTC